TATGGCTTTACATACATACACACACACCACACACATTTATGTTTAATGGTAGCCTTCTTCAGGGAGAAAAAAAATTAAAAGCGCACAGCTAAGAACAAAAGAAAACTTAGAAGCACAGAAAAGCAAAGCAGCTTTGAAAATGATATGTAGTTTCCATTATATAGTTTTTAAAAAAAAGTAAAGTGTGAAATGGAAATCCATTGCTTTATACTGAATCCTATTATGTTGTACTGTGTACATGAAGATGTTCTTTTTTTTGGCTTTTTGAATTTAAGTTCAAAATGAATAAAAAAATAAAAATAGCTGAGGGAGAAAGATATGTCACTTTTAGTGGGGGTGGGGAAGGCGCAACAGGAAAATGATGGTCCTTCCTCCAATCATAGAGGAGGTGGTGCCTGAGATGAATTCTTTGCTTGTTTGTTTGTTTGTTTGTTTGTTTAGGCAACGGGGTTAAGTGACTTTCCCAGGGTCACATAGCTAGTGAGTGTTATGTGTCTGAGGCCTCATTTGAATTCAGGTCTTCGTGAATCCAGGGCCAGTGCTCTATGCCCTGCGCCACCGCTGTACCCCAGATGAATTCTTAACGAAAAATTTGAGATTCCAGGGATACATATAAATGATTCAGAACTAGAGCTGAGGCATGTATCAGGAGTGGAGACATAGATTGGGAGTCAATTGCACCAAGTGGCCAATTGAAATAAATGGAATGGACAAGACCAGTGAGGGAGAGCACAGATATTAAAAAGGGAGGGGGGGGGAGATGGAGAAAGAGAGACAGAGAGACAGAGAGAGACAGAGATGGTTGAAGACAGAGCCTTGGGAAGTTGGATTAAAGTGTCACAAAGGGAGAAAACACAATCAGTGAAAGGATGGTCCACAGAAAGGTCAAAGGGGACTCCTCTGGGAAAAGGCTATTCAGTGTGTCAGTTAAGAAATCATTGGTAACTTGGGAAAGAGCACTTTGAGTGGAGTGGTGAGAACAGAATGCAAATTGCAGGGGAATGAGGAGGGCACTGTGAGGAAACAGAAGACAATGACTATGGTATCTTGGTAAGGTCATAGGCAAAGGGAGGATTTAGCTGTCTTTTCTTAAAAAAAAAAAATCTAAGTTCTTATATTGTCAGCAAAAGGAAAGGAACCAGCAGAGGGAAAAAGACTGGAAATTAAGAGAGGGAATAGCTGGGAGATGATGGGTCCTTGGCTAGGAGAACGTATCCTTTGAGGTTGGAAGGAAGAGTGAAGTAAGGCAGAGAGGTTTGAAGTCAGGAGAATCAGAGATGAAGAATCTGGCCTAGATGTACCTGGACTTTATAATAAACAAACAAACAAGACAAAGACATACATAGATTTAACTAAGTCACACAGAGAAGCAGATAACAGAGGATTCAAGGACAGGTAACAAAGGAGTATCCAAGCAAAGATCATCATCCAGTAAAGCCAGAGCAAGGAGGCTCAGAATGAGAGAAGGCTGGCTATGGCCTAGTTCCCTAAGTAATCAAAAGGACTTTTTAGATGACTTTTTTTTTTTTTAGTGAGGCAATTGAGGCAATTGCCCAGAGTCACACAGATAGTGAATGTTGTGTCTGAGACTGGATTTGAACTCAGGTCCTCCTGACTCCCGGGCCTGTGCTCTATCCTTTTTGCCACCTAGCTTAGATCACTTTTAAAGAAGAAAGAGCATGGAAAGGATGAGGCCAAGGGGGTCCTGAAAAGTATTTAAGTAGCTCTTCCAGAAAAAAAAATGACTAGGACACATATTTAAATTTGATTTACAGCATTAACATTTTCTCCTTCACTTTCTTAAGTCTAGACCAGGAATAGGAAACCTTTGGCCTCGAGGCCACACGTGGCCTTCTAGGTCCTCAAGTGCAACCCTCTGACTGAATCCAAACTTCACAGAACAAATCCCCTTAATAAAAGGATTTGTTCTGTAAAACTTGGACTCAGTCAAAAGGCCTCACCCAAGGACCTAGAAGGCCACATATGGCCTCAAGGCTGCAGGGTCCCCACCTGTTGTCTAGACAACCAACAGAACAATAAATCAATCCCTGATTTGCAGTATTTCCCCATTTCCAATGTGCAAATAAATGCTCACATGGAAAACTGAAGTTAGGAGGTACAAGCTAGCTCAAGCACGCTGCCCCCAAATAGTGTGACTGCCAGGAGTGTAAAATGGATAGTGGAAATGGAAAACTAGGAAGGTAGAATCACTCAGTTTCTGTTTTCTCCACCATGGCCTTTTTTTTTTTTTTAAGGCATTCAGGGTTAAGTGACTTGCACAGGCTCACACACCTAGTAAGTGTCTGAGGCCAAATTTGAACTCTGGTCCTCCTGACTCCAAGACCAGTGTTCTATCCACTGCACCACCTAACTGCCCCCAGTGATCATTTTAAAGACTGTATCTAGAAGGAGAGATACTTCAGGGCCAGAGTGGGGCAAATGGGCCAATTGAAAAAAAAAAAAGGGAGAGAGGGTAGAGTCTGGAAGTCATAGACCATCAACTTTGGCCACAGTCCCAATCCACTAAGTCCCTACCCCTGCAATAGCATGATGGGCTGAATCTAATAAAGTGAGATTCAATAAGGATGAATGCCAAGCTCTACATTTGGGTTTAAAGATCTATTTCATAAGTACAATGTAGGGAAGGTTCATGATTGTATAACAATTGGTGTGGGAAAAAATGGGAGGGAGTTTTATGAACTAAAAGCTCAATATGAGTGAACACTGTAAGATGGTACTGAAACGGAAAACCTCAAGGCCAACCCAACCCTAATGCAGTCTTCAGCTGTGTTAACAGAGGCAGAGTGTCCAGAACAAGGAACGGGATAGTCCTGTTGTCCTGGTCAGGCCACATGTGAGAACTGGGTTCAGTTCTGGGCAGAACAGTTTAGGAAGAATGTGGATCAGATTTAACTAAAAAGTTAATTAAAACAGTAATTTTAGCAAACAGTAGGATATAAAATAAGCCCACATAAATCACCAGCATTTTTACATATTACCAACAAAACTCTATAAGAAGAGATAGTAAGTGGGGTAGTTAGGTGGCACAGCGGATAGAGCACCGGCCCTGAAGTTAGGAGGACCTGAGTTCAAATCTGGCCTCACATACTTACTAGATATGTGAGCCTGGACAAGTCACTTAAAAAAAAAAGGAAGAGATAGTAAGAGAAACTCCATTTAAAATAACTGTGGACAGTACAAAATACGTGGAAGTATACTTGCCAAAACAGACCCAGGAACTACATATACATAATTATAAAACACTCTTTATACAAATTTTATACAAATAAAGACAGTTTAAATAATTGGAGAAATATTAATTGTTCATGGGTGGGTAAAACCAATATAATAAAAATGATAATTTTACCTAATCTATTTATTCAATGCCATCCCAATTAAATTATCAAAAATTATTTTGCTGATTTAGAAAAAATGACAGAATTCATTTGGAAGAACAAAAAGTCAAAAATTTCAAAGAAAAAAATGAAAAAATGTAAAGGAAGTTTAGCAGTACCAGGTCTTAAACCAGGGGTGGGGAACCTGCAACCTCCAGGCCACATGTGGCCTTCTAGGTCTTCAAATGCAGCCCTTTGACTGAACCCTAACTTTACAGAACAAATTCTTTTATTAAGGGGATGTGTATTGTGAAGTTTGCATTCAGTCAAAGGGTCACACTTGAGGACCTAGAGGGCCACATGTGGCCTCAAAGCAGAAGGTTCCCCACCCTTGTAAAACTATATTATAAAGCAGGAGTTATCAAAACTACCTGGCACTGGCTAAGAAATAGAAAGCTACATCAGGAGAAAAGAGTAGGCATACAACACATAGTAATAAAAGATTATAATAATCTTGTGTTTGACAAATGTGAAGATTTAAGTTTTGGGGATAAGAATTCATTGTTTGGTAAAAAAATAATTATTGGAAAAGCTGGAAAGCAGTCTTGGCAGAAACTGGGCATAGAAACATAATACCTATCAGACTTGTGGATAGGAAAAGAATTCATAACCAAGAGATAGGGAGCATTGTGAGGTGTAAAATGGCTAATTTTATTACATTAAATTAAAAAGTTTTTGTACAAATAAAACAAATATATGTAAGATTAGACGGAAAGCAGAAAATTTGTGGGAAATATTATAGACAATCTCTTAAACAAAGATCTCATTTCTCAACTATATAAAGAACTTTGTCAAATTCATAAGAATATGA